AATGATATATACCAGGAAAAGGCTATAAACATTCGAAAGAAACTGTTCTAGAAACCATCATAAAAACAAAACGAAAAGATTCGTTCCTTTCATTATAAGCCCACTAAAACATGTAAAATCCTAATTTAAGACGAAACATAAATGAAGGTTAACATTAAAAATTTATCGAATAAAAGCTTATTTGTATGCCGTAGGCTTCGAGTTAGGCAAGGAATACTTGTATTCATTGCCTAATTAAGCCGGCGAAATTCATCTCAGTCCACTCCATTGCACTCTTATACAATTTACTCCAACCCAAATCCACTCTAATACATCACAAGAAATTCTAGCAAGCTCTTTCCGACCCTTTACAATCCAACTGTGGTGCTGCGTCGGTGGGAGAGTGTAACAGGGTAATTTCAAGTGAAATAGAGTTCGTTTGCTTGGATAGAGATTATGTAATTTAGTATTATCAACTGAGTTGATAACGTAAATTGGCCACCGTAAAGAGTTTCAAAACTAAGCCCTTCGTCCTTCGCTCTGTCGAAGGGCTAACGCTCGAAACGTCGTCAGCTTTGAAACTCCTTACGGCGGCCAATTTATGTTATCAACTGAGTTGATAATACCAAATTACCTAATCCATGAATAAATGAACTCTATTTCACTTGTACCCACTCCAACTCCTTCTTAATCGTTTTCATTTCTGGCTACCTCACCCTACTTCACTCCAAAGTACACCACCTTGCCTCAGCCGCATTTAGTCATGTAAAAACTATTCATGAGTTTATGAATGCTTTTATTTCCTCTCACGCAACAACTATTCATTCATTTACTCAATCACTAACTCATTATATTCACTTATTCACTCGTTCTTTCATCATTGCTTCATTCATTCATTCTTTCGCCAATTGTCTTTCTCTAGTACTGAATGGTCAAATTTAGAATTCTTTATGGGGTGTTCACACGTTGATAGCACTAGGACATTATCAAACAATTCATGACATCTATTCATTGTGTTCAATTACGAGTAGGTTTTGCCTCCTAGTATGATAAAACAAAAACAAGTTCATATTTAAACGCTTCGTAGTTTTCATTCTATTATATTAACAAAGGAATGAACGACAGGTTATTCCCCAAACTATCAGTTATAAGTACACAGTATACTAAAACAGTGGATGGCGTTAAAGGCGCGCTACGAATATCCTTTGCTATTTATCTCCGAGTTTTGCACTCCCTCGCGTTGCAGGAATAAATTAGTTAAAATTATCTTTTTGTGCTAAGTTATGTCACTGTTTTCGCATATACTTAAAAAACTATTCACTTCAGTGTCGGCA